CCTGGGTTCAGGCCAGCGAACCACTGAGCTAAATCCCCGGGCCTACAATCTCTTTCTCTATTTTTAGTGGGTGTCTGTCATGTAACTTTTACACTCATAGTTCTCTCTTCCTAAGCGCAATTAAGAAGGCTCTTTCAATCTGGGGAAGGATATAGTTCAGCTGGAGAGAACTTTCCTGGTGTGCAGGAAAACCTAGTTTCAGTCCCCAGTACGGGGTCCGGGGATGGTGTGGGGAGGAATCTTCTAATCACCCAATCTGTATATTTTCTCCTATGGTGTTGAGTAAATATTCTCCACTGAGAAATGTTTTGGAAATTAGCTTTGTTTTATTTACAACACATTTCATAGAATCCATTGGAAACTTCATTTTTCTTTACACATAGGCGTGACAAAAATTTTGGTATAGAACACAGAGTAAATGTTTGCTTAACTGCGGCTTACTTTTTAAATACATTTAGATCTTTAATAGAGTCAGTATTCATTATGCTTCTAAAATATTACCAAATATAAACATATAGTTATCCAATTCCCTCCAAAAATGTGCATCAGTTTTAACACTTTGTTTTTTGGGTTTATTTTAATTATGATGTGTTTTGCTTTGAGTTTCATCGTTCTAAATTTCTGGGTCTTAAACTTATCTGCCACATATTCTCTTTTAAGTGGAATCAACTTTTTTTTTTTGGAAATGCATTGAAATATTCCCAGGAAAAGTACGATTTTTAGTAAAGTTTTTATATTGGCTCTGTCAATGCAAATTAAGGCACAGTTACTCTAAAAGCCTGCAGTGCAATGTGCTTCAAAATCAGTGGGTTTGAGAATGAACACACATTTGAGGGTCTCTCAAAATAGCTTTCTGGTCAACGTAATTTTCAAGCTAGACATTTGAGATGTAGAAGGAAAAGATGCTCTGTCCCCTTTTTGTGTTTCAGAGAGCCAAAAGGTAGCCACCTGTCCTCTTGCTGGTCATGTTAATCGCTTTGGCTTTGAAGTATACATATGAACATATTTAATAATAATTCATAATTCATAACACATTTAACCATCATGAATTGGCGCAATAAAGAGACATCAATACCATGCATTGTGATTCTTTTGGGGCCTCTTTCTCATTCAGACAACATGTTTAAAGAACCTTTATTTAAGAAAATAACAACATTTTAGCTAAATAGTCTAAATTGGTGGCATTGTGGTGCCACTAGTAAGAAATGAGGATATTAAAATGAATAAAGGAAGAATGGTCTGATTTTTGTGTATTAAAAAATTTGAAAGTCCTCATACAGGGCCACTGGTTTTTTGGTGAAGAAGGACTACATCAACAGTAATTATTTTAAAATGTAGACCCAGAAATACCAACTCTATTCTTCCCCCATCATGGTTTAGTCTACAAGGCCTTGCTCTTGAGAAAGTTTTCCATGCATTTGCTTCAATTCATCTGCACAAGGTGAGACAGTCAAACAAAAATTCCCGGTTCATTTTACTACCATTAAAGGCTGAGGTTATTTCTCTGTCATAAAATTGTAAATAGCATTTTTTTAAGTCACAATCACATTTAAAACAGTGGATTGTTCTACAAATATATATGTGTATATATACATATGCTTCTGAAATGAGGATATATTATATAGAGTTTATATTTGACTTGTGGTCTTTAGTCATAGGTAATCAAAATAGAGAGATTTGAATGCAAAAATTTATATATAAATGTATATTTCTAACGACAGTACAAGTTGTCACTTTATATTATAAAAGAAATGTGTGGGAACAATAATCAAAGCACATACTTCTTTGGAACTTCAGTGATTTCTAACCCCTTCTTTGATGCAGAGATTATTTTTATTTTTAAAAAATTATCTTAAAAAGCTATATTTCCCAGTATAGATCCTATGATAAGTCATATCAGATTGAAAATTAATGATTAAATGTCTAGAAAAAGGAAATTTCATGTTGATCTTTATTTATTGGGATTTTTCCGGAGCCCAAGTGAAAAATTCAATCTTTAAATCCAAATTGAATGAAACTTCCTAATATTTTGGGATGATATATTGAACTTCAGTAACAAAGAGAAGCAAAACTGAGAATATTTACCATAATCATAGCCTGAAAATAACATTGTCAACAACATTGCATCATTGAATGTTTTATTAGTTTGAGAGGATGAGCTGATGTTTCTTTGCCTTTGCTCCCAGCACAGTTTAAAGGCAGTGACACTCATTTTATTCAATGTTGTTCAAAAGGTCCAAAGCATATTCCCATAAGTAGAATTGGTATAGTTCCATTTCAAGGTTAAATGTTACAATCTTAAGAAATTATTGAGACTGAAATGTTTAATAAACATGTTACATGAGAAACTAAGCAAATTGATTCATTTTTGCGTTAAAGTACAGGTTACTGAAATTATTGTTTTTAGATCAGATTTGTAAAATGTTTATACATTACAACCTTCCTGAAGTGAAAAGAAATTGAAGTCTTGAGATACTCGTGCATGTAGACACTTTTTTAAAGAAAAAAAACATTAAACTTCTTTGAGGTGTCTCTTTTTTATGTGTGTCTATCCTACAGTGCGTTACTGAAAAAAACTGTGTCATATAAAAATGATCAAAGATGGATTTACAGATGGGATCTAAGTCAAATTTTATTGAGCAGTCAAAAGTAAACATAAATCCACCTTTGTGGCAACCTTGCACATTGCTTTATGAGGATGAAAAGCCAGAGTATATTCATTTTTCCTAATATGTATAATTTACCAACTAGACACCTGGTTGAGTTTGGAAATCATAAATCAAGTTAAAATCTGCAAAACTGTAAGGAAGGCAGACATATAAATAAATAATGGAATACCCTAAATTTCATATTCTAATAAATGCATTACCAAGAATGTATATGCTACTGACCCTGAAAAAATAAAACATAGATGGAAAACAGGGATTATGAAGGAGAATATGGGGCCCTAAAATAGAGGGAATAGTTTGAATAAAAGATATGCAGTGATAAAAAATGATTTATTTGGGAAAATTATGGATGAAACAAAAGAAAATACTCAGAAGAGGAGGTGGCAAAAACTGAGTTGAGATAAACACAAATCAATGTTTACTTCATGTTTTGTCAATGCACCCTTGAATTTTGTCTCTCTTCTTATATGTCAGGATACTTCTGGTTGCTCACAAAAAAATTCCTAAAACTGATACTTAATTCAGAGGTTAACTACATCACCACTGAAACTTAATTTGTCTATGTTTCCCTCAGCTCTCCTCACCTCAACGTACAATAACCTCCCTCTTTAAAGTCAGAAATGCTTTTAGAAACTGCTGAAACTGAACATTTTTTACCCCCTATCCCTCCTTTGTAATCCCTCAGAAAGCATCTCATATCTCACTGGCTCAATTTGGATTATGTGTGTTAATTCAGTGAATCATCATGGCCAGGAATTGGAGATATGGTGATAGTTTAAGGCAGCAAAAGCTTTTCCCAAGATCTGAGGGTTAACTGTCAGAGCCAGTCATTACTAAATGCCTGCTATGCCGAAGGTAATATGTGGGTTATTGAAAAAGAGTACACAAGTAGAAGTTTAAAAAAACATGATAATTCTTGGCCAGCCAATCTAATTAAGGGATGTGTCTGATCAAGAATGAATATAGGGGCCCAGATTTAGCTCAGTGGTGCTGCCACCTGCCTCGTAATAGCAAGGTCCCAAGTTCAATCCTGGGTACCAGAAAAACAAATAAATAAATAAATATAATAAATGAGGTACAGCCAAATTAGGTGAGATGTGGGATTCTTACCCAGAGAAGTGTGAAAATGAATCCCTATAATAAAAAAACACTGGAAACAGAACTAAAGCAGCAAGTAAGAGAATAGAAATAAAAAACAGAAATCCACTCGAGAGATTTTTAAGGTTTTTTTTTTTTTTAAGGAAAAGCAGTACATTTGACAACTCAACAACTCTGGGCTAGCCCTTGGTTTTAGATGACCATCATAGAAGGAGCTACAAAGTGTAACTTGGGTCTTCTAGATCTGAGGTTTTTGCCCCATTAATTTTTTTGTTACCTACCAAAGCACTGCTATGATTAGTTCATCACAAAAAAAACTTATCAAACTACCACACAATTAGTAATCATAGGTCCTAAACTACATTCAGGGCTGAATGAAACATTGAAGTCATTTCAGTCACCCATATGTTTTTCTTGAATCTTCTCCCTAGATAATAGTGTGCTTGTGAACAATTTAGATGATAATATATCAACCTCCCAAAGCAGCAAATTCCATGTGTGCAGTACTGGTTTTATATCTCTATTAGCATCAAATCCATGGGTCAACTTCTTCCAAAAAATTTGCTTGATTCTCCACTGACTTCCATCTTTGATTTTTGGAAGTAAACTAACACATTTTATTTGAAAGT